TGAAGGCGGAAGACATAAGAACACAAAATTCCACAGAGAAAAAGCAAAGAAGAAGAAGGAGTGAGTTGAAGTTGTTGGATGCTGGAGGTCGGAAGTGCTTCCTTCTACATTTGAAACAGAATCAGAAAAAAAAACTGTCGGAAGCTTCACAGCCGGTGAGAGAGTTTCAGGAATGAAAGAGGAATGAATGAAATGGAAGACGGAAAATATAAAACAATTTCTAAAAAAAATAAAATAAAAAGGAAATAATGGAGAAGAAATTAAATCGGAGTTGGAAAATTTAGATTTCGAATAATAATAATAATAATAAAGAAACAAACAAATAAATGAAATGAAAAAAAATTAAAAAAATAATTATTTTTCTTAAATTTAATTTTTAAGAAAAAAATATAAAGTTGAATTAGATTGTATTTATCTATTTTTTACAAATTTAGAAAATAGTAAATGTTTTTAATCGGTCTATTTTAATTTTGTATTTAGTAGGAAGTTACCTGATTTAATAAAAAAATTATTTTTAATTTTATGTTGAATAAAAGATAAATTAAATAAATTTTTTATTTCATCTAAATAATTAATTTTTTAAAGGAAAAATTGAATTTTCAGCGAGTTTTGAGATATTGTTTATTTTTATTTATTTTTTATTCATTATTCATGTAAATTTAAATTTGTGTATCTTAAATAAAATAAAGACATAAATGAAAATAAATCATTTTATTAAAGACCAAAAACTCCTCAACATCTTGAGCTCTCAACAACAACAATGTTCATCATCCAACAAACCAAAATTTAGTTCTTTCTTGGCACTTGAAGCCTTGCCCTGAAATCATCCTCCATTAGAGGCAGTCCATCTCTCAGCTTGATCTTTGGTTCCCATCCAAGAACCTCCTTCGCTTTCGTAATGTCTGGCTTCCTCTGTCTCGGATCGTCCGGGGTGTTCTCGACCATGATAATCTCGACATCAGGATTGATAAGCTGCAAAAACAAACGGCATTCAAACTTAAACCAAGAATCCGAAAGCTTTGTCTATCCGTACTTCTACGGAGATATCGTACCTCCTTGACAGTTTTGGCGAGTTCGAGCATGGTGAATTCACCTAGCACAATAATGATAGAGTTACTAACGATAGTTGAACAACAGATTTCTTAGAGTTCATCGTTCTATGATACCGAACCTGGATTCCCGACGTTGATTGGCCCAGTGTTCTCTCCTTCCATGAGTCGGATCAGTCCATCAACCTTGATGAGTTAGAAGTAGTAAACAATGAGCCAAGAACAGTCTCCATATTCGATTACAACGACAGGTAAATCAAGGAAACAAGTAAAGCTCAGGACTGGGTCAATTTTAATTTTCACAAACCATATCAGAAACGTAACAGAAACTCCGCGTTTGTGTTCCGGGCGCCTGAACGGTCAATGGTTCACCACTGCATTTCAAAGAAAGGAAAAAAGAGTTCATAAATGAAAGCAAATATACTACTGATGCAAACTTACCGGATTGCCTGAGCAATGAAGTTGCTAACAACACGACCGTCATCGATGTTCATTCTCGGTCCATAGGTGTTAAAAATCCTGGCAATCCTTATCTCTGTTACAGAAAAGTTCTTAGTTTTACTATATCGACGTTAAAACAGGTCGTAGTTAACACGGACCATAACAAGAACATGAGTCTCACCAATCCCATGCTGCCTGTGGTAATCAAACATTAATGTTTCGGCCACACGCTTTCCTTCGTCATAGCAACTTCTTACACCTTATGGAAGCAGAATTACGAGCATGAAAATTACGAAGGCAGAATTCTAAGCTAATCAGTAGACATCAGTTTTGAGAATATTCGACATACCGATTGGATTGACATTTCCCCAATAGCTTTCATCCTGGGGATGAACAAGAGGGTCACCATACACCTCCGAGGTCGACGTAAGCAAAATTCTAAGAACAACATAAAAGACATATACATTAAACCAGTTCATTACTAAAGAACAATTCAAAGTCATGAAAGTTATTGTCCTAACCTAGCTCCAACTCTCTTGGCAAGTCCCAGCATATTCAATGTGCCAATAACATTTGTTTTTGTTGTCTGAACACCATGACTTCAAAGTTAGAACATCATATTTGCAATAACAATGCAGCCAATTTCAAACTCTAATACCTTTACAGGGTTGTATTTGTAGAAGATCGGCGAAGCAGGACAAGCCAAATGGTATATCTGATCCACCTCGACCAGCAATGGCTCGGTGACGTCTAGCATTACGCAATGGACGAAAACGGGTCATTTCAAGTTCGAGTAAACAAACCAAAAAGCAAAAAGAGCTTAAAGATGACAGAGTATATACCATGTCGAATGAGCTCGAATCTAGGATGACCGATCCATTTTCGAAGGTTGTCTTTCGAGCCAGTAAAATAGTTATCCGCAACGATAACCTAAAGAGAAGTAAAATCGACCTAGAATATCAACTGCCAAACGTCGTTGTTTATAACTCGTCCATCGACGTTTTTATACCTCATTCTTTTCATTCTCCATCAATTTGTCTACTAAATGCGAGCCGATAAATCCCGCTCCTCCCGTAACCAAAATTCTCATATTGGCCTGCCACCGAAACACAAAACATAGAATCATGCTAATCTTCTTGAAAGATACACTCTTAAATCAACAAAAAGTTCAGACTCTTATAAGATCTTTCATTAGAATGCCTCAATCGTTATTACACCAACTCAGTCACTCCCCAACTGATTCTACCCCAAGAAAAAAGACAAAAATACTGGCATGCTTCCCTAATTGAATCCTCCTTAGCTCTGCTAATCGACCGTTAGAATCATATTCTTCGAGGGCACCTAGTTCAACCGGGGTTGCCCTCCAAACTCGGTAAAGTTAGCCTTTCTGAAGCGAATCCATTCAAACTAGAACCCAAAATGTACAATATCAAATCAACACAACAGATATAAGAAACTAAGAACAAGAAACAAAAGATTTCACCCCAATTATACCAATCAAATTCATCAAAGAATCCATCAGAAAACTCAAGCTGATCAAAGATATCCCATGATCTGATCTGATCTAAAGATTGTTACCTGAAAAAACTTTGCACTTCTCAAAGGAGAAGGGGGCGGTGGGGGTTTTGTAGAGGTATAAACCTCTCCATTTGACGACTCCCTAGCCATCACTGAAACTTCTCTTCAAAATTTCTGCTACTCAAATAAGAACCAAAACGGGAAAAAAAAAACTCAAAATGAGCACTAATCATGAATTGGGTCAAAAACAAATCCACAAATGAAATGTTCCTTTTGAAGAACAAAGCAAAAGGGTTAAAAAATCGACGAACTATCTTACCCCTCAGACAATAAACGAAGACCCCAAAAATCGTGGAATTTAATAATGTTGAATGGAATTGGAACACAATCAAACGCTTTAAATTTTAAAAAAGATGGAATCTGAAAAAACGTGAGAATTACGAAAAGGGGAAAAGAGACGAAAGCTTCCTTTTAACAACAATGGCTACCGTCCCAAAACGACGACATTTTGAATCGGAACAACGGTAACTGTAAATCCAAAGGGGTCGGCAAATTTACCTGAGAGATCGAAATCTGGGATTCCTCTTGAGGAAATTGAGAATTTAACAGAGATAAATTTACATGAAAAAAGAATGGACTATTGGATGTCGTATTTATAAGAGTTAGTCATCATATTGTCAATATTTAAAATAATTTACTTTGATTTTTATCAAGTGTAAGCAAGCTTAGTGTTACATTTCCACGTGGTAAGCGAAGATTGGTTGGATGGCTAAATATATTATGACGTGTTATTTTTAATTAAATATTTTTTCAGAATTCTTTCCAGAAAATCACTTTTTGTAGATTCCAATATATCCAATAAAATATGTTTTTACGGATAGTTGAATTCTTGTAATATTTATTTATTTCTTTATTTACCGAATAAATACTTATTTGAAAATTAAATTATTTCTATTTTTTTGTTAATATTTAGTTTATTTTTTATATTACACAAATTATTTTAAAAATTGCGTTTTATATCTAATTGAAAATATAAATATTAGAAAATTAGATGAAATTTTAAAAAATAATAATAATAATTTAATCTAAATTATAAATTACTCTGAAAACAAGTGGGGGTCATAGCTTTCGTGAGCCCCAAATCAAATATATATAACCAAAACTTAGGTTATAACTATGTTTGATCTTTAAGAGCAATCTCCAAAACTAGTTCCGTATCAGCCGTCGCTGCTGCGTCCGGCAGAAATCCAAATCGATGGAGTTTTGATTGTTGTTGTTTCAATCCTGATCTGCTCGAGTGAATAGCTGCTGCAACAGGCGAAAATCGAAGTCAATCGAGTTGATTGCTCTTGTTTCACTCAGGAATCTGTTCGAGTCCAATCGCATCGAACAGAGCCCTAGACGAACATAAAGGTACGCAAAATACAACAGATCGTCTTCTTCGCTTCTTTTTCTGCATCGTGAAATCAGATCCGCCGCCTGTTCATCTTTAGGCCTTCCCAAACTCGGTTTCTGAGCAAGATACAACAGCTCCTAATGCCTTAATCAAATACTTTTTTCAATCGGAGATGGCATCGGGCGGTCACATAGCGGAGTGGATATCGCATTAGACTCCGGATCTAAAGGTCGTGGGTTCGAATCCCACTGTGATCGCATCTTTTGCCCATTTTCATTTTGAATCAATAAATAAAAAACTTTGTTGACAGTGAAGCTACAGACGACATGTCGACATCATAGAGTAGAGAACAACAGAGCAGCACACACACGCAAGCAATCTTTTTGACTAATTTTTCAATTTGGTCCTTAATTTTTTAAAATCCAATTTTTTAAGTACTAAATCAAATCCGTAAACAAAACAAAAATTCACAAAATTTAACTAATTATCATTTTTTAAAATAATTAATTCGAATTTTTTTAATACATTTGAGCTAAATTTTAACCGATAACTTTTGATATACTGAGATAAGTAAAATTAAGGACCAAATGGGAAAAAATCAAAAGATGAAGGACCGTGAGATGTAATTAGCCAAATCAAAACGACATGACGCATCAAAATATTCGGCTGTCGGAGTTTCAGGGTTAGAAATGAAAACGAGAGCCGTTGATTACGAAACAGACGACCCGAAAACCCGAAAGCAGCGTAGATAACCCGAGAAACAGGAAACCGGCGAATCCCAGTGCAATCGAGATAGTTGATTGAACGCAAAATGCGGTCGTCACCCTACACGTGTCGGTTCCCCTCAGAGTTATCGCGAGAGCCGTCCCTGCGGAATCCGCAGAGAGGAGGAGGTATGCAAACGCCTATGGAATCAGAGCCCTAATTCCGATTAGACCAGAAGAGAGAGGAAGAGAAAGAGGAGGAAGGGGTTAGGGTTTTTACCTGGTCATGGCCAAAGTCGAACCAGACTTGTAAAATCTCAGGGAAGAGAGTCACTTCTCTCGAGATTTCCCACACGGAAGCGATCATTTCAAACAGTGAGTACACTGCGACTATGGCGTTCGCCGCGAAAACGTACCTGGTTGAAGATTCTCAATCGTTGTTAGAGTTCATTTTAACGAATTCAATCCGCGTTTAATTTACAGGAGAACGAAGATGAACGAGCCAAATAGTCCATTCGTTATAACCTAAATTTTCTCATGAACCAAAGCGAAACAGAAACAAGGTAGACGCGATAATCGGAGAAGAAAGAGAGGCATACCTGAAGGCGTCGAAATCGTACCAGCGAGGGGAATCGGATCCAGAGCCGCGAGAGTTAGTAATCATGAAGACAGCGGAGGCGAGGGAGAAGCAGAAGGTAGATAGACGGAAAACGAGGATGAGAGAGTTGAAGCGCTTGAGTTTCTGAACAGAGACAGTGGAGTGGAAGTGGTGGTGGTGGTGAGGAGTAGGCATTCGAGCATGAGGCGATGACGTTCCGCCGTTGCGGAGGGACTGAGGGGATCGCATAGCCGCCGCCGCCGCCGCCGCCGTTCCAGTCGCCAAGAGCTACAGGAAGAGAAGTGCATACATAAAATGGGGACGAAAATAAATCAACGAACAGACCAATATCAGGGAAGTCTGTTCGATTAGCTCTTCCTTTCCGCCCTTATGGTGAAAGACAGAAAGCAAACGATTCAGAGCGGCGGTGGAGGAGTGACGGAGAAGGGCAAGAGTTCCATGAGAGAGGGATTTGAGGGAAAATGGGTGGGAAATCTGTGGGGAAATTGTTCAAAGCGGCCACGTGAGAAATGGAGAGAGAGAGAGAGAGAGAGTAGCAGACGGCTCTGAGTAGTAGTAGTGGAAAGTGACAGAAATTTGCTTTCAAAATTTTATCATTTCTCTCACATTATTTTGAATAATGGTTGAAACATTGGTAAACCGCAATAAAAACACAAATAAATAATGCCTAAAATTATTATGATGTAATAAATAATGATTGAATAATTTAAATAAAGTAAGGATATGATGATCGAAGTAGAAATAAATATTCTTTAAAATTCGTGATTTTACCTAAAAGTTTTAAAATTCAAAAATAAATTTGAAAGTGGCTGAATTTTAAACTCCCACATTTCCATATTTTAAAATTTTTCCAGTTTAGTATATTTCATAAAGATGAAAAAACCGGAAGCCCACAAGGGCCCACGAAAATTGACATTGTATCGGTCGTGTTTGGTAAGCCGGACCGTTATAAATAGTAATGCCCAAAGCGCTTCTTTCGAAAAACAAATATAAATATGAAACGTGCTTTTATTTAAACAATAAAATAAAAATCTTCGAAAAGTAAAAAAAAATTAGGGGCATTCCGAGAATTGAACTCGGGACCTCTCGCACCCTAAGCGACAATCATACCACTAGACCAAATGCCCTTGGTTGAGGCTACTTTTTCCTAATAAAATTTAACTCAAGTTAAAACAGAATAATTTCACAAAAAATCGAGGAAGCTTTTATTTATCCCAACCAAAAAAATGAGTTTTTCTTGCTCTCTAGTCCTGCGCCCGTCTCAACATGCTAGGTTCTGTACTCGATTATCAACCTCTCATAACATTACTACCATTTATGCTATTAAGGCTTTCTAATTTTGTGAAGAAGTTCCCTTCCATGAATCATCATGAATGCTACGTTCCGACCTACAAAGACGATTCTAAGAGAAGAAGAATAAAAGGGATAAGGCTATAAGAAGTGTTGGATGAAATCCCACGTCGGCTAATTTAGGGAATGATCATGAATTTATAATCAATAAATACTGATGATGCCTTTTGGGAAAACTCAAAGCAAAGCTATGAGAGCTTATACTCAAAGTAGACAATATCATACCACTGTGAATTGTCTTTTCATTCTTTTGAGAATAAAAAGTTCTGTTATTATCCTAAGGAGAAAACCAAACAGTGGCTATTAAGACTTTCAGATTTTGTGAAGAAGTTTCCTTCCATGAATCATCATGACTGGTACGTTCCGACCTACCAAGGCAATTCTAAGAGAAAGAAGAATGAAAGGGATAAGACTATAAGAAGAACCTAAAAAGGAAGTTCCACACGAAATCAGACTCCATTAGCAAGGGGATTGTCTTTTCATTCTTTTCAGAATAAAACCAAACAGTGGCTAAAGAAAAACACAAAAAGGGGCTAAAATGGGGTTTTCATGTTTGGATTGGAATGCGTCCAAAGCACAAGCAGGATAGGGATCAAAAGCACCCCACCTGATAAAATTCTAAAAGAAAGAAGACAAAAGGGCTAAAAGGGAACATAATCAAGTGCCTAAATGCACCATCAAACTTTATAAGCACTGTCAAATACATCATCATATATTGTCTCATTCTTAGTTCTTCCTCCACAGATGAACTGATTTAAAGTAACATAGTCGAATTACACTAAAAGAAGATGAAGATTTAGCTGAATTTTAACCTCCTACTTACTTTTAAGGTGAAATCTTTCAATCGAAAAAGAACAAAAAAATTGGAGTGGGATTCACTATATAATGTAAATAAACCAATAGAAAGACAACATATAAGAAAGCAAGAGGAACATCTGCTCTTCTTTTTGTTCTTTAAAAGAACAACAGATCAGAACAAAACACAACAAATTCAAGGTTACCAACTTTAGTGCTTGCTTGGATGAACTTGGGATAATCATTCACAAGCAGCTTAAAGGTCTAAATCAATTGAAAAAAGAAGAAAAAAGATGAAGAAATCATAATAATGTCATTGGGGCATTTCATCAAACAGGTATGCTGCACAATGAAAAGTGACCACAAAACCAGTATTTTTCGATTTCATGTTACAGCTGCGTGGAGAAAATTTTGGAAGCATGCTATGAATTTAATGGGAATGAATGTTTTTACAAGATGATTACTCATTGCACACTCAAGTCAACGAAAAACGACGCAGAAATCGACATCACAGATCTGTTTTGGCATAGGATTCCCAGACACAATTTGGATCGAAATCTCAAATCCTTCAAATAAGCTATGATTATGTTGCGAATGAAATATAACTGTACATGTATGTACATTCTCGTGCTTATAAATATCGGCAGAAGTTGGCTTCTCAATTCGACATAGAAATGCATCGACAAATGACAGAGCAAAATAGAACTCTAGTTCTTGCTTACCTCCTGTTCGGCCTCCTCATATCTTCTCAATGCGTTCATTCAATTGGCTTCGTGAATCATTATGAATCGGCTGAATCCAGAGAAGCGCAACCGGGAAGAAAATTCATGTTCGTCGATACAGTGAGTCGATTCCTTCTGCTTTTTACATTTAACTCTTGACAAAATCTTCTTGTTTTTCTCATGAATCGAAAATCTTGCTTCTGTGAGAGAAGATGAAAGGGAGAGAACAGGTGAGAGCTAGCGGTCGGAAGAATCCTTCAGGACCGAACCCCATTGGGAATCGACACCCACCGTCAATCCAAGGCTGAACCAATGGCGTATCTATCAGTTGGTTGAAATTCATTTTGGAGTTCAATCAGCTGAAAATCTGTCAAATTTTCGTTTGTGAAGAAGATGAACACCGTTGAATTTATGGAGTATTTTTTCCCTTGCGTTGGATTTTGATTACTTATTTGAATTTTTAGCGGAATTTCCAGATAAATTATTTATATTTAAAAGTATCTTCATAAATCAGCAATAATTTAATTTTAATTTTAATTTTAATTCATCTACAGAACCGCCCGCAATTTAATCTTGCGTAAACTAAAATATTTTAATGTAACAAATTTGAAAATTATTAGAAAATAAATATATAAAATTTCCAGCCCATTTGGTAAATTGTATATTGGGCTTCTAAAAGACCAAGCCCACTTTCATTAGGTTTGGGTAGCCCAAGTTGAAGGCCCAAATCGGATTTTAATTTTTTTATATTTTACTATGTAATAATTTAATTTTTGTAAATTAAAATGGGTAACAATTTAGTTTTTATCGTTCTTATCCCATAATATTAAATTCATGATGTGAAGTGGATTTGATACAATATCTACTTTATATTCCATCTATTTTTATTCTTTAAATTTTTTTTTTTTTGTGTGCGTAAAAATTTAGATGGTTAATTACCATGTCAAATCATTTTTACAATAAGAACTATTTTTTAAAAAAATATTAAATTATAACAAATTAAAAATTAAATATGGTCCATTTTAAGTTAAACATATCAAACTAGTACGCAATAAAGTTTATTAATTAAATTATTTTTCAATGAAAATATAAAGAAAAAAAAATAAATTTTATATTGGATATACGTTATTCAGGAGATTAATGGTAGACATACATTATAAAAGTTAATGAACAAATAATAATAAAGTATATAAAAATTATTTAAATAAAAAATATAAAAAGGAAATAAAAATATATTTTTAATAAGAAAAGTAAAATACATTCCCTCTGCAAAATCAACATGGAATCTGATGCGAGAATTGGATTCCATATCTTTATTTTTTATTATTTTTCGGTTCCCAAAAACTCCTTTCACATATATTTATTATTATTATTATTTTAAACTCATTTCTCTTATTTTCTGCATTTTCCTCTAACCCCCCCCCCCCCCCCCC